AAAAAAAAAATGAGTAGCAGGTACTAGCGCCGCTAAGGGAAAATGAAAAGCGGCGCTTATGCTTATTAGCGGATCAGAAGGGAGCAGCTAAGGCAGCTTAGCGGCGCTAACCCATCTTAGCGCCACTAAGGGGAAATGAAAAGCGGCGCTTATGCTTATTAGCGGATCAGAAGGGAGCAGCTAAGGCAGCTTAGCGGCGCTAACCCATCTTAGCGCCGCTAAGGGAAAATGAAAAGCGGCGCTTATGCTTATTAGCGGATCAGAAGGGGGCAGCTAAGACTCCTTAGCGGCGCTAACCCCCCTTAGCGCCGCTAAGGTCTGGAGCATATATAAAAAAAAACGGGCAAAGACACATTATCTCTCCCAATTCTCGAACTCACCCGTCCCCTAATCTCCCAAGCGTCTTCTGCGACCAGCTCTCACAATACACTCCCCACTCTCGGCCACATCTCCTCCGACCGTCCATCATTCTCCGGCGATACACATCATCAACGCACTCCGGCAACATCCTCAAATCAGATTCATTGTCCATCCACCCACCTCTTGCTCGTTCAAGCACGCCGGAACCCTAACTCGTGCAATTCTTTAATTCTGACCGAATTTCGCATAAAAAGGTACCGCTAGCTACCCACAATTGCAAGTGATTGATTGTTGAGGCGTGTGGAGGCCTACTCCGGGATCAAATCATCCCAAACTATTCAAAGCATCCTCACATCCAAGTCCGCCCACCAAGTGTTCGACAAATTACCCGAACTAGAAATCATGGGCAAAACGACCGGTGCTTCAAAGAAGAAGGGTCCCGCAGCTTCAAAGTCCAATGCGCCGACCTCCACGAGCTCAAATCCCAACCCGGCTCAATCCTTGAGAGAGCTCCATTGCATCCCATTTGATGTCGTGTCCATGGACGAGGTCACGGCGTATCAACGGCTCTCCTCAAAACCACTCCCCAATCCACGAATCATCGATTGGAATTATTTCAATGACGAGCTCGGGATCGGTGAGGATATCGACCGCTACATCAAATTGCTCGACCTCGAGGAATTCGAGGACATGGAGGCATACACTTATCGGGGCTTAACTATCGAGTTTTTCAGCACGGTCGCCAGGCACGAGAACGGGAAATACCTTACCGCTTGACTTGAGGGCAAGGAGTACAAAATAACCGACAAAGTCTTGCGCGACATTTACAAATTTAATACCTCGATCGACTCACGCCACAGCCCCATGGGATGGAAAGTCGACCCGCACTGGTCGGCCATTTCTCCTTGCGAAAAGTATAAGAAAGCCGGGCCTTCTTCGAGTTTAATCAGCGACTTATCTCTAGTGGTGATCCACAAGTACCTCTCCCACATAATCTTTGGGAAGAAGGAGTCGAATAAGGTCAGCGAGCAACAGGTATTCATTCTTTGGTCGATCTCTCAAGGCAAGTCGGTCACCATGTTGCAGTATCTGAAGGATTCACTCTTTGATGTGCGGAACGACTCTCGTCGCGGTCCAAACTTGGGGCATGTGGTGGCACGGTTGGCCGAGTACTTCGGGGTTGATATTGAGGAACCGAAGATGCCCGCCAAGTACATTTCCCGGAAGGATCTCTCCTGTGACTTCCTTATAGATGACACCACCCCCCTCCCAGTCCACCAGCGTGACGGCTACAAGGCCTATTGTCGGGAAATGGGCCTTCCCCTGCCGAGCGACCAATCCCAGCTAGCAGCCGGTACATCCACCGGCCATACACGAGCGATCTCTCCTGACAGAGCCGATGACTCAGAGACCGATGCACATCCCGAGCACGACACCCATCATCCTCCTCCGCCGATGTTCGGCCACTCGGGTGCGTCTTCACATTAGGTCCCCA